GAAATTGTAAAAATTACAGAGGAATAAGTTTACCGAGTGTACCAGGAAAAGTGTACGGTAGGGTTATAATTGAAAGAATTAGAGGTAAGACAGAATGTAGGATTGCGGATGAGCAAGGAGGTTTCAGAGTGGGTAGGGGATGTGTAGATCAAGTGTTTACATTGAAGCATATATGTGAACAGTGTTTAGATGAAGGTAGGGAAGTTTTTATTGCATTTATGGATTTAGAAAAGGCATATGATAGAGTGGATAGAGGAGCAATGTGGCAGATGTTGCAAGTATATGGAATAGGTGTAAGTTACTAAATGCTGTAAAGAGTTTTTATGAGGATAGTGAGGCTCAGGTTAGGGTGTGTAGAAGAGAGGGAGACTACTTCCCGGTAAAAGTAGGTCTTAGACAGGGATGTGTAATGTCACCATGGTTGTTTAATATATTGATAGATGGGGTTGCAAAACAAGTAAATGCTAGGGTGTTCGGGAGAGGTGTGGGATTAAATTATGGGGAATCAAATTCAAAATGGGAATTAACACAGTTACTTTTTGCTGATGATACTGTGCTTATGGGAGATTCTAAAGAAAAATTGCAAAGGTTAGTGGATGAGTTTGGGAATGTGTGTAAAGGGAGAAAGTTGAAAGTGAACATAGAAAAGAGTAAAGTGATGAGGGTATCAAATGATTTAGATAAAGAAAAATTGGATATCAAATTGGGAAGGAGAAGTATGGAAGAAGTGAATGTTTTCAGATACTTGGGAGTTGACGTGTCGGCGGATAGATTTATGAAGGATGAGGTTAATCATAGAATTGATGAGGGAAAAAAGGCAAGCGGTGCGTTGAGGTATATGTGGAGTCAAAGAACGTTATCTATGGAGGCAAAGAAGGGAATGTATCAAAGGATAGTAGTACCGACACTCTTATATGGGTGTGAAGCTTGGGTGGTAAATGCAGCAGTGAGGAGACTGTTGGAGGCAGTGGACATGTCCTGTCTAAGGGCAATGTGTTGTGTAAATATTATGCAGAAAATTCAGTGTGTGGAAATTAGGAAAAGGTGTGGAGTTAATAAAAGTATTAGTCAGAGGGCAGAAGAGGGGTTGTTGAGGTGGTTTGGTCATTTAGAGAGAATGGATCAAAGTAGAATGACATGGAAAGCATATAAATCTATAGGGGAAGGAAGGCAAGGTAGGGGTCATCCTCGAAAGGGTTGGAGAGAGGGGGTAAAGGTGGTTTTGTGGGCGAGGGGCTTGGACTTCCAGCAAGCATGCGTGAGCATGTTAGATAGGAGTGAATGGAGACGAATGGTATTTGGGACCTGACGATCTGTTGGAGTGTGAGCAGGGTAATATTTAGTGAAGGGATTCAGGGAAACCGGTTATTTTCATATAGTCCTGGAAATGGGAAGTACAATGCCTGCACTTTAAAGGAGGGGTTTGGGATATTGGCAGTTTGGAGGGATATGTTGTGAATCTTTATACGTATATGCTTCTAAACTGTTGTATTCTGAGCACCTCTGCAAAAACAGTGATAATGTGTGAGTGTGGTGAAAGTGTTGAATGATGATGAAAGCATTTTCTTTTTGGGGATTTTCTTTTTTTTGGGTCACCCTGCCTCAGTGGGAGACGGCCGACTTGTTAAAAAAAAAAAAAAAAAACACGTAAAATAAAAATGGACAATGGATAATCTGATATGGGACAAGCTAAGGCTATCACATCAAGAATTATGCCAAAGTATTACAAGACAGTTAGCATACTTCATCACCCAATGCATCTTCCTGGAATTAAGTGAAATTAAAAGAAAATTTGCATGCATATTGGGAGACTATCCAAATACATGAAGGGTAGTTCACCAAGTGACAAAACTATCCCCATCTCAAGCACTCAGTCTTTTCTGTCTCATATCCATAGACAACCTTTCTGTAAAACTACATTTTCTTCTCTAATTTATATGTGATATCATTCATAGAAGAGATTTTTCAACATTCAGAAGGTGGGAGCTAACCTCTTGGCATTAGTGACAGTTTGGTATATTAGACCTAGATCATAAATCCTTCCTAAGGTGCACAAAACCATTATTATTACAGCACATTTCATAAGGATGTGTTACACCTATAGGCTCAAGAGCACCTGGGAAATAAACAAGTTTGATCCAAGGAAAATACAGCTTCAATTCCTTGGAACATACATCCTACACCAGCACTTAGCATGGTGGAGCATGAACTCTGAATATGTGAAACTAGGAAACCATAGCTAACAAACTTCTTTCAATTCTTCTGACGAATCTAAGTATCAAACTACTAAATTTATCAAAATCTGACTTGTCTACTACACCCAGAAATGCTTGTGCTGAAATACTGTCTTCTCTTTTAACATCTTTGTGATACATGTTGTGCCTTTTATGCCACTGTTTTTTTTTTAACAACAGCTGTTTCCCATGGAACCACGGTGACCCGATAAAGAAGAAATGCTTTCATAACTTTTTTTTTTTTTACATTTAGTAATTTATACACCCAAGTAGTAAGTTGGCAGACAGCAACTGCCCAGGGAGGTACTACCGTCCTACCAAGTGAGTGTAAAGCGGAAGTCTGTAATCGTTTTACATGGTAGGATTGTTGGTGTCTTTTTTCTGTCTCAAACATGCAAGATTTCAGGTACGTATTGCTACTTCTACTTAAACTTAGGTCACCCTACACATGCATGTACAAGCATATATACACACCCCTCTGAGTTTTCTTCTATTTTCTTACCAATAGCTCTTTATTTCCTCTCATCTCCATGGGGAAGTGGAACAGAACTCTTCCTCCATACGCCATGCATGTCATAAGGGGCGACTAAAATGCAGGGAGCAAGGGGCTAGTAACCTCTTCTGTATAAATTACTAAATTTAGAAAGAAAAACTTTCGTTTTTCTTTCTGGGCCAACCTGCCTCGGTGGGATACGACCGGTTTGTTGAAAGAGGAAGTAATTTATACAGGAATTACTAGCTCCTTGTTCCCAGCATTTTAGTTGCTCTTACAACACACATGGCTTACAGAGAAAGAATTCTTCACCAATGCCCAATGGAGAATTTTGGATTATTTATCCTTAAAAATAATGTCTGTTTTTTCTTATTAATCATAGATATTATAGAACAGACAAAGAAAAAAAGGTGAGCGATGTTTTGAGTCATCTGTAGAAAGATTTAAATGAAAGCAGCAAAAGAGGAACAGTACCAGTGTATAGGGATACCAACACTTGTGTGGGTCTGAGGCATGGGTTTTGAATGTTTTAATGAGGAAGATGGAGGCAGTGGATAAGGTATGCATCCAAGAACTCAGAGCATGGAGATTAGAAGACAGTATGGGATTCTCAAAAGTATAAAACTTAAGACTGATGAGTTGAGATGGTTTGGACATTGAGAGAATGGAGCAGCATACAATGACTAAGGGTACACTGTATAAATCTAGGGTGGAAGGAAGAAATAGGGTGTCATCCCAGGAAAGCTGGAGGAGAAAGGGTAAAGCAGGTTTTGAGTGCTAGGGGCATGAACACCCACCAGGATTTTTGAGAGCATGGCAGATCAGAGCGGAAACAAGTGGCTTTATGGCGTGATATGTAGCTAGTGCAAGAGCAGGGCAACAAATTTAGAGGGATTCAGGAAAAACTGATTAGCCAGACTCAGGTCCCAGTTGTAGTAGATGCAATGTATGTACTCTAAAGGACAGGAGAGGATGCTGCAATATGGAGGGTCATCTGAACTCACTGATTTTTTTGTGGGGAGGGTGAGTAATTTTATTCAGTTACAGATGCACATAAATACAGTATGAAATGTACTAATTTACTTCTGACAGGTTAAAGAATAACAGAAAATTTGTTAACCCTTTCAGGGTCCACAGGCCCTCTCCGAGACTTGTTCTCAGGGTCGGCCAAATTTCAAAAAAAAAAAAAAAATTATTTTTTCTTATGAAAAGATAGAAAATCTTTTCCCAATCATAATGACACCAAAAGTATGAAATTTGATGGAAAACTTACGGAATTATGCTCTCGCGAAGTTAGCGGTCTCGACAATGTTTACGCATCGGCGTAAACATTGTCGAGACCTCTATTTTCGGCCAATTCCAATGTACTAGTCGATAAAAGTCATAACTTTCTCTAGAACTGCATTTTTCCTATCGAATGAGTACAAGAAACCACCAATTTACCGATTTCAACTATCCAATACAGTGGTCAGAATTTAGCAATTTTGCCAATTTCACACAAATTACAAAAGATGCTAATTTCAAAATAGTATCCAGAATAAACAAGGTAGTCATTCCTGGCACTAAAATAACATTTCCTCTGTTCATTAGTCATGTCCCCATGCCCCTCTTACATTCTTTTGCTTTCCATTCTGAATTTTTATTCCCACAAAAAATAGAAGACTTACTGTTATGCAGACTACTACATTAGTGTAGAAATGGTATAAATAATATCTGCGCACTTGTGAAAGAATATTAGACTCGCCAGTTGACGTGTATTGGACGCTTAGCATGATTTGTTTACTTTTGAACTTTGGTAAAAATTGAACATTTCTGCTACTCGGAGCTCAATTTCAAGGTACTTTTCATTGTAAAACCAGTCAAAATCATCTCAATTTCTGTAATATGTCTTCCATTCTATACAATGAGACCAGGAAAACTAGAATACAACAATAAATACCATACAAAAATACAGTGCGAAGTCGCTGTTTTAATCCAAAAACATGGTCAAAGTTTTTTTTTCTCATTACTCACTGTGTGCTGCAGAATTTTTTTTATACTGTGCACACTGACCACATAGACCCATTCTTTCATATATAGGCCTACCAGCTTTCTCACTAGATTTGAAGGCGCTAGAATTTATGAGTACTAGCACGTCACGGACCCTGGTGCATAAGCCGTACTAGTACGGCCGAAACCCTGAAAGGGTTAAGAGATGGTATTTATTCAATATGGGATGAATGAAAAAAAAATTTATCTAGCACTGCTCTAATTTGTTATATTTTAGATAGAACGTAATGGGCAAAAAATAAAATGAGACCCTGACATGCCCAACTTTCAGATAGGTAATGAAATGCTGAGAGCATGTCTGACTTACCTTGAATGTCGAGGAAGTCTTCAGCCAACACTGTAGGACCCTGATCAATAGGTTTGCCAGAACCATTGAAAATACGCCCTAACATATCCTCAGAAACAGGAGTCCTCAAGATGTCACCAGTGAACTCGCATACAGTGTGCTTGGCATCCACACCAGAGGTTCCTTCAAATACCTGCAAAGTCAAAAACCATGAAATAATGCCATAGGCACAATAAGAGACTGCAAAAATCCAAAGAACTCTCAAAACTAAACAGATACTGTACATCACATGATTCAGTACAGTATACAAGAGGTCCCCACTTTACAGCACTTCACTTTACGGTATTTAGCTAATACAGCGGTTTTCAATTACTATACCCACTATTCAATTATTCAGATTTCCTGCAATAAATATATTCACCACTCACTATAATCCAAAGACAAAAATATTGTAAGAAGTAAGAGAGCATGTATAGTTCCTTTACATAAAGGGAAGGGGAGATAAGAGAGATTGTAAAAATTATAGGGAAATAAGTTTACTGAGTACAAGTGTATGGTAGGGTTATTTCTGAAAGAATTAGAGGCAAGACAGATTGCAGATGAACAAAGAGGCTTTAGAATGAGTAGAGGATGTGTAGATCAAGTGTTTACATTGAAGCATATATGTGAACAGTATTTAGATAATGGTAGGGAAGTTTTAATTGCATTTATGGATTTAGAAAAGGCATATGATAGAGTGGATAGGGGAGCAATGTGGCAGATGTTGCAAGTACATGTATATGGAATAGGTGGTAAGCTACTAAATGCTGTAGTGTTTTTATGAGGATAGTGAGGCTCAGGTTAGGGTGTGTAAAAGAGAGGGAGACTACTTCCCGGTAAAAGTAGGTCTTAGACAGGGATGTGTAATGTCACCATGGTTGTTTAACATATTTATAAATGGGGTTGTAAAAGAAGTAAATGCTAGGGTGTTCAGGAGAGGGGTGGGATTAAATTATGGGGAATTAAATACAAAATGGGAAGTGACAGTTACTTTTTGCTGATGATCCTGTGCTTATGGGAGATTCTAAAGAAAAACTGCAAAGGTTAGTGAACGAATTTGGGAGTGTGTGTAAAGGTAGAAAGTTGAAAGTTAACATAGGAAAGAGTAAGGTGATGAGGGTATCAAATGATTTAGATAAAGAAAAATTGGATATCAAATTGGGGAGGAGTAGTATGGAAGAAGTGAATGTTTTCAGATATTTGGGAGTTGACGTGTCAGCGGATGGATTTATGAAGGATGAGGTTAATCATAGAATTGATGAAGGAAAAAAGGAGTGTGGTGCATTGAGGTATATGTGGAGACAAAAAATGTTATCTATGGAAGCAAAGAAGGGAATGTATGAAAGTACAGTAGTATCAACACTCTTATATGGGTGCGAAGCTTGGGTTGTAAATGCTGCAGCGAGGAGGCGGTTGGAGGCAGTGGAGATGTCCTATCTAAGGGCAACGTGTGGTGTAAATATTATGCAGAAAATTCGGAGTGTGGAAATTAGGAGAAGGTGTGGAGTTAATAAAAATATTAGTCAGAGGGCTGAAGAAGGTTTGAGGTGGTTTGGTCATTTAGAGAGAATGGACCAAAGTAGAATGATATGGAGAGCATATAAGTCTGTAGGGGAAGGAAAGCAGGGCAGGGGTTGTCTTCGAAAAGGTTGGAGGGAGGGGGTAAAGGTGGTGTTGTGGGCGAGGGGTTTGGACTTCCAGCAAGCGTGCGTGAGCGTGTTAGATAGGAGTGAATGGAGACGAATGGTATTTGGGACCTGACGAGCTGTTGGAGTGTGAGCAGGGTAATATTTAGTGAAGGGATTCAGGGAAACCAGTTATTTTATATAACCGGACTTGAGTCCTGGAAATGGGAAGTACAATGCTTGCACTCTAAAGGAGGGGTATGGGATATTGGCGGTTTGGAGGGATATAGTGTATTTTTATACATATATACTTCTAAACTGTTGTATTCTGGGCACCTCTGCAAAAACAGTGATTATGTGTGAGTGAGGTGAAAGTGTTGAATGATGAAAGTATTTTCTTTTTGGAGATTTTCTTTCTTTTTGGGTCACCCAGGCTTGGTGGGAGACGGCCGACTTGTTGAAAAAAATAGGTTCAGGGTAAAAAATGACTCAAAGTGAAATACTGGGAACACAACTTAAACAAGATCATACATAATAGTATTAAAAAGTTAAAAGTCAGAGCTGAATATGAATGTAAATCTGTCATCACTGAGAACACTGTACCTGGACAACAGCCTTAGAGCCGCTCACTTCCAGCACTTGTCCCTTACGCTCAGTGCCATCAGCCAGATGAAGATTGACAATCTCAGCAAATTTGGGGAACTTGACATCATCCAGAATAACCAGTGGACCATTGACACCCGTTACCGTCTTGTAACATATACGTGGTTGTGCAATGTAGTCCCGCTTCACAGCAGCCACGTGGTCCAGGTGGCCAAGGCTCGTCATTTCTGAAACCCACGTCAAAAATATAAAGCTGTTTTTTAACAAATAAACCCAAGGATATTTAATAAAACCTAATTCCCCCCGACAGTGATAGAATTCAGTAAATTTGTACTGGAGCTAGCTAGTAATGTACAGGGCATGCATAAACAGTACTGCATTTTATAAATTGCAATTTAAAATCAATCAAGTCTCACAATCATAGTGCTTTCAATAATTTATAAAACCTTAGGTGTAGCACTTCAAGAGAGGTTACAATATTTAAAATTAATCATGAACAAGGTCAAATGTAAAATAAAGTAGGACCTCAAAATTAACAGGGCTACTAATTCATAGAATTCAATCATCCAGGATCATTACTAATTGTACTTGATAAAGATACACAAGCAGCAAATGGCAGCTATTTAGAAAACCTTTTTGCCTGCACAGCAAGCCATGTACAAATAGCTTTTTTCACTTTTTTCTTAATGCCCATTTTCTTTACTGAAACAACCCCTAAACTGGCACGTGACTCCTAAATTGGTGCACAACCCGTAAACTGAAAACAAATAAGAGAATTTTGTTTAAAATGTCATCACTGGATTCTCCACACCCCTAAACCTTCTTTAATTTTTTTTTTTTTTTTTTTTTAAATCAGCCCAGTCTCAACCCACACTTCAATCTCAAGCAGGCAGCAGCATTGCTGTTTAGTTCTTTTTTTTTGGGGGGGGGAGGGAGGGTTAAAACCCTGGTCTTTTAGAATGGCCTACTACTGTCCAATATGTGGATACCTAAGATGCCTGTGTCAAGTAAACCGTATCTAGCCAAATAACTACCAAAAATTGACCTGGCGCTCGCCCCATCTTGTCCTCCCACCATAACAGCTCCGCTGCCAGGCAAGCTATACCACCAATCAGAACAGATCAAGGAGTATCCTGACCACCACCCAGACATTATTCAAATGATTTATGGATAAACTAAAACATCAGAGGACCATCACCAGAAAAATCTCTGCTAATCAGCCTCTTCCCTCTGCATGAACATAAAATATGAAGCCCTTCAGACAGCCTTTTACCAAATATGAAACCACTCTTACTAACAAGATTGAATAATTACCAGTAGTTAAGGTGGTTGCTGATAAGCAATCATTACAAACAAAGGTTACAGCAATCCAAACTGACTTACAAAATACAGTCAGAAGTGTCAACGAGAAAGTGAATGAAATGGACAACGCAATTAAGTCCCTAAATGAAAAGATCGAAACACAAACTGAAAGAAATACATTGAAATAAGAGTTTACTGAACTCCTGAAGACACAAAGTGATTGAACAGACAAACAGGTTTATCAAATGCAACAGCAGCAGCTCGCAGATGTAAGTATCAATAGCGATCTGCTCCCAGAATCTGATTGAAGTATCTGTTGGGATGCTACCCTGCAAGTGAGCTCCACATCACAACAGACCCTAGGAATATGAAGGAAGCAGTATTAGATAAACCTGGAGGCAAATAACACGTAAACTTCTAAACCCGTGTTGCACTGGGTTGTGTAACCGATGGTTATCTAGGTGGTTGGCAATCTTGCTTCCTAGAACCCTTTCAAAGATTTTTATATGGGATGTCAATGCTATCTGTCTGTAGGTCTTTACAACTGCTTTGCTGCCACCTTTATAGAGTGGGGCTATGTCTGTTGTTTTTAGTGTGTGTGGGATGATCCATGTCCATGCTCACTCTCCATAGAATGCTGAAGGCGCATTGCAGTTCTTGATGAACATGGAGTTCCACGAGTCTGGGACTGGGGCTGAGGGGGTGGGCATGTCATTTATTGCCATTTCCAAGTCTTGTGGTGTTAGGATAATATCAGAGTTTTGAGATGGCCAAATTTTAGGTCTCGGTCATAAAGAATTCATTTAGATTGTCGACCCTTAGTCTGGATAATGGCTCGCTGAACACCAAGTCGTATTGAGACTTTAGTATCTCTCATTTCTTTGTTGTCGTCTGTGTAGGTCCCATCTGCCTAAGCAGGGGCCCTAATACTGGATGTTGTTTTACTCTTAGATTTTGCATAAGAATACAGTGGACCCTCGACTAACGCTATTAATTCGTTCCTGAGAGCTCATCGTTAGTCAAAATTATAGTTAGTCAAGTTAATTTTCCCCATAAGAAATAATGGAAATCAAATTAATCCGTGTAGGACACCTCAAAGTATGAAAAAAAATTGTTTTTACCACATGAAATATTAATTTTAATACACACAAACTGAAGAAGACATGCACAGTTACACAACACTTACCTTTATTGAAGATCAGGTGATGATTGATGGGATGGGAGGAGGGGAGTGTTGATGGTCTTAGTGTTTAGAAGGGGAATCCCCTTCCATTAGGACTTGAGGTGGCAAGTCCTTTTCCGGGGTTACTTCCCTTCCCTTTAAATCTCTCAAACCAACCTTTGCTGGCCTTAAATTTACTCACATCACCACTAGTTGCAGGCATTTTTTTAATTAAATCGTCATGCAACTTCCTAGCCTTTTCACATATGATCGCTTGAGAGATGCTATCTCCTGCTATGTTTTTCATTTATCCACACCAATAACAGTCTCTCAACATCTTCAAGTACTTGCGATCTCAGTTTCGGAAACATAGTTCCACCTTTGGCAAGAACAGCTTCCTTGATTGCCGTTTTCTTGCCCACAATAGTAGCGATGGTTGATTCGGGTTTTGTGTACAACCTGGCCAGCTCGGAGACACGCACTCCACTTTCATACTTAGCAATGATCTCTTTCTTCATATCCATAGTAATTCTCACCCTTTTTGCTGTAGGGTTGGCACTAGTAGCTTTCTTGGGCCCATGGTGACTTATTTTGCAGGTGCAATAACTAAAAAGGCTGTGAAAATATGAAATGTTCCGATTGTATGCTTGGAAGCGACCGCGGTGGCTGGCTGGCTTGTAAACACTGGCCAGAAGTGGACGCGTCTCAGACAGAACGAATAGTGTTGGTCGAGTTTTTTAGCGCTAGTCGAGGCAAAATTTTTGCGGTAAAATGTATTGCTAGTCGGATTTATCATTAATCGATGCCATCGTTGGTCGAGGGTCCACTGTAGTAGTATTTTGTGTTTTCTTCAATTTCCTTTATAGCTTTTAATTCTTCCTGAGATTCTTGTCTACTGTAAGATTTCTTAACCCTTTGAGGATCCAAGCCATAGATCTATGCTTTGTCCACAGAGTCCAAGCCATAGCTGTACGTCATGAGCTCAGCTCACTCAGGTAAGCTGTGAGTGGTAAATTTGGGCCTAGATGAGAGAATGGATCTATGTGGTAAGTGTGCACCATAAAAAATCCTGCAGCATGCAATGCATAAAAAACGGCAACCATGCATCTGGATTACAACAGCGACTTTGTGGTGTATTTTCATATGGTTTTTACAGTTTTATTCGTGGTTTCTTGGTCTCATTTGATAGAGTGAAAGATATATTACAGAAATAGAGATGATTGTGACTGGTTTTAACGCTGAAAATAGCTTGAAATTGAGCTCAAAGTAGCAGAAATGTTCAATTTTTGCCAATGTTCAAGAGTACACAAATGAAGTCACACGTCCAATACACATCAACTGGTGGATTTATCATACGTTCACAAATGCACTGATGTTATTTATACAATTACAGCCTCTCCTCACTTAACGACGGAGTTAGGGGCCTAAGACCCTGTCAGCAAACGATTTCGTCGCTAATCGAGGAATCACCCCTTACTGACACTTCAAAAATGTCACCACCCAAAATTAAAACATTCAGTTTTATGTTTGTTGGGAAATTCCTTTCAATCTGTTTATTATTAACGGTAATACTACACGAAATAGGTCAATGACTTACTTCCGAGATATTCCAGGAAACGTGTGCGTGGCCGATTGCTCGAGATTTTTTTTTTTTTTTTTTTTTTTTTTTTTTGAGAAAATCATATTTTTTCAGTCTGCAAAGGGTAAGAGTGATTTTCTATAGTTACCCTTCAGGCACGTAACGTTTTCCGTTATGGTCGTGGTCACTTTTTTTTTTTATCAGTACAGTGGACCCCCGCATAACGATTACCTCCGAATGTGACCAATTATGTAAGTGCGTTTGTACGTGTATGTTTGGGGGTCTGAAATGGACTAATCTACTTCACAATATTTCTTATGGGAACAAATTCGGTCAGTACTGGTACCTGAACATACTTCTGGAGTGAAAAAACATCGTTACCGGGGGTCCACTGTACCTCTCTATATAATGTCAGTTTTTATTAATTTGGGCATCTTTATCATGCTTCTGCTGCCTAGTTATTATGGCTTGAAATCCTGTTGATTTCACTGCTTCTTTCACTATCTTTATCCTTCAAGATAGTGGGAATGGTAGAATGCGCCAACTTCAAGTCATCGACTATCACTTGCGCTTTCTAACCAGCTTCATACTCATTTATAATCTTCATTTTTCACCTCAAGATCGAGAGCCTTCCTTTTCTTGGTGCATCCTTGAAGCGAAGATCTTCCTTTTCGCCGACATCTTGTACTATGGGATGCACAATCAAGTGCAAATCTGTACAAATACAGTGGTCCCTTGATAATCGTTGGGCTCGATATTCGTCCTTTTCAGAAATCGTCGCGTTATTTTCGTCCAAACATTGGCTCGCTAATCATCGTTCGTCCTGGACACGTACTCACGGCTCTGAGCCACCCCGGCCTCCCTTCCCAGCCAGTGTGCCATTGTTTACCGGTGAGCGACAGTCCCCTCACTTCATACGAAATATTTCATAATATTCCATCCATTTTAGTGCTTGCAAGTGCTAAATAAGTTACCATGGCTCCAAAGAAAGCTCCTAATGCCAAGCCTTTGGTAAAGAAGGTGAGAAATGACTGAATTAAAGAAAAGCATCATTGAACAATATGAAAGTGGCATACGTGTGGCCGAACTGCCCAGGATGTGTAACAAATCCCGTACAACCATATCTTCCATTGTGGCCAAGTAAAAGGAAATCAAAGAAGCTGTTGTTGAGAAGGGGGTAAATA